ACCATGGGGAATGACAATTAAGATTTTCTAATCTGAAACTACGCTTGTATTCCTGGGAGAAACCCATATTGTTCAAGGCATGTTTTTTTAATACCCCAATAGGTTCAGTTTGATGATCTTTTGCTTAGCACTTTTGCATCTATATGCATGGGTCAAATATACCTGCCATTTTCCTTGTTCCTCCTGTTTCTTTTGTTTGGGCGTCAAGAAAATATCAAGAAATTGGAGATTAGTCTCTTTTTCTATTATCTGGAAGGGTGTGTATAAAATTGAAATGACTTGTTTCCTGAATGATTGATGTCACTTATCAAAGTACCTGGGCCTGGTGGTGTTGCTATGTGCAAGTTTCCTCATTTAATCATTTTATGTATTCTTCAGCGAGCTTTATTCTAGAGACCTGTTCATTTCACCTGAGTTTTATATATATTTTTTGACAAAAGGATATGAGTGGCATTCTCTTGTCTTTATATTATTTGTTTTTGCCAAGATTACTTCCTGGTTTTTTTTGTTTTTTGTTTTTTTTTTTTTTTGAGACGGAGTTTCACTCTTGTTACCCAGGCTGGAGTGCAATGCCGCGATCTCGGCTCACCGCAACCTCCGCCTCCTGGGTTCAGGCAATTCTCCTGCCTCAGCCTCCTGAGTAGCTGGGATTACAGGCACGCACCACCATGCCCAGCTAATTTTTTGTATTTTTAGTAGAGACGGGGTTTCACCATGTTGACCAGGATGGTCTCGATCTCTTGACCTCATGATCCACCCGCCTCAGCCTCCCAAAGTGCTGGGATTACAGGCTTGAGCCACCGCGCCCGGCCTTACTTCCAGTTTTAAAAATATTCCTGACATCAGTTATGTGTGACTTCTTTCTTTTTTTCTAGCTGAATCTTTTTAATTGCTTTCCCTATTTTATTATCAGTTTCAAGGAACCAACTTTTGGGATTGTAGAATTTTCTCACCGTGTCTTTGTTTTCTATTTTATTGATTTTTACTCTCATTTTCTCAGCATTTTCCTTCTACTTGTTTTGGTTTATTCTGATGATTTTAATAAATATTTAAGCCGGATATTTAGTTTGTTAGTGTATATCTTTTCATTCTCTATAAAAAGTAGTTAGGGATAAATTTCTTCAAGAACGTAATTTTCATTCCATTCCACAAATTTTGATATTTACTATTTAAATAGCATTCAGTTATGGATATTGTTAAAAAAATTGTGATTTCTTCTTTGAATCTTAAATTATTTGAAATTAAAAATTCCACAGGTATGAAGATTTTAAACATCCTTCATAATTAAATTCTAAGTAGATGCTTTCTAGTCAGAATACCTGGTTTTATGATACCTGTTTTTAAAATTTGTTGAGACTTGATCTGTGGCCTGTACAGAATGAATCTTCTTAAAAAAAATACACACCTACACATTTTGCTGAGATATTTTGACACCTTTCTCTCCCACACTTATCACAGATTTCCTGTTTTTCTTTCTCTTTGTCTCTTTTTATTTGAATTCTTCCTCCCAGTGGGTTTTCAATCTGGGTTCCTCAAGGCTTCTGAAGACTTAAATCCCTGAAAATTTATTTTATGCCTTTATATTTGAATTTTATTTGGCAGGATATAAATTCTAGAATTAAAGTGATTTTTCTTTGATGCTTTAACTCCACCCGACTGTTTCTTTCATCTAGTATTGCTGTTAAGACATCTTACGTCATTCTGGATCTCACGTATTTGTAGGTGATCCACTAGTTTTCCCTGGAAACTTTTATAATTTTCTCTTTGGTTCTGATATTCTTAAGATTCACTATCCTGTATCTATGCATGGGACTCCCTGCATCTTTCATCTTGAAGTAGTAGGGCCCTTTTTTAGCTGAGGTGATTCATCTTTCTTTAACTCTGCAAATTGCGTTTCCGCTATTTTTTTCAAATATTTATTTTCTATTTCTTTTTTATCTTACTTGAAAATTATTATTATCTAAATGTTAAAGTAGGGTTTTGTTTTTTTTTTCAGACAGTCTCACTCTATTGCTTAGGATAGAATGCAGTAGCACAATCTCAACTCACTGCAACCTCTGCCTCCTGAGTTCAAGTGATTCTCGTGCCTCAGCCTCCCGAGTAGCTAGGATTACAGGCACATATCATCACGCCTGGCTAATTTTTATATGTTTTTAGAGCCAGGGTTTTGCCATGTTGGCCAAGCTGGTTTCCAACTCCTGACCTCAAGTGATCTGCCCACCTTGGCCTCCGAAAGTGCTGGGATTACAGGTATGAGCCACCATGCTCAGCCAAAGTTTTCTATTTCTATCTTCCAGAAACAAATAATACAAACACAAGACCTTGGAGAAGCTAATGAACCTCCTTGGTTTTTTGTTTTGTTGTCTCTTATGGAAATAGGGCAATTAATATGCTAGCATCTGTCTCAGATTGTTACAAGGAGTGTTTAGTAAAGTGACAAGCTCACAGGGAGCTCACTTATATTACTTTTCCTTCCAACAGGGAACTGCATGAAGGGGAGGTATTTGGGTGGTTTCAGTTCACTTTTTGTCCTCATTTACAAGAACAGCATCTATCCCATAGCAAGCACTAGGCAAAGAGTTATTGCGTGACAGGAGGAACATACTGCATTATCCTATTTATTAATCTGAGCTGTGCCCTGTCTTTCAATTGTCAATGTAACCCTTTTTATTTCAATACCGCAAACTTATGATAGACATATGTCTTTATTTCTTCCTTGGGCTGCATAATGCTGGTGTGGATAGCCACGTTTTCATTTTATTTCATCTTTCTTGCACCTAATATAGGCAGCTCTCTCCAGAAAGTCTATTTTTTCTGACACAATGATGCCATTTTTTCCCTAACTCTGAAGTCCTTTTAAAAAACTTTATGGCTGGATATGGTAGCTCACGCCTGTAATCCCAGCACATTGGAAGGCCAAGGTGGGCCAGTCAGTTAGCCCAGGAGCTTGAGACAAACCTGGGTAACATGTCAAAACCCCATCTCTACAAAAATTAAAAGAAAACAAAACAAAACAAAAATTAGCTGGGAGTGGTGGTGTGCCTGTGGTCTCAGCTACTCAGGAAGTTGCGGTGAGAGGACTGCTTGAACCAGGGATGGGAGGTTGCGGTGAGACAAGATCAAACAACTGCACTCCAGCCTGGATGACAGAGTGAGACTATGTCTCAAACAGAAAATTTCTGAGTTACCATTTGAAGACTTGTTACTTTCAAGATGCTTTTCCATAGCATGATGAATAGGGATGTGAATGAAGGTGGGAGAGGGAAGAAATTACTTATTCGTGTCTGGGCACCATCTTTGTTGGGGGACTTAGGATCTGCTCCATTTTGTATCTGTTTTGTGGGACCCGGTTCCAGGATCAGAATTGCTGCCTCTCTTCTGGTTTGCACGTAAGATACCTTGTAATGTATGCTGCTGGTAGACATTTGCTTCATCTATAATCCACTCCTCCTAGCAGGCCATAGGCTGCCTAGGTCAGGGTCTATGTCTGATTTCTCACACTGTACGTGCCCAGGACCTGAAACAGGGGAGACAGGGCTGGGTTGGACTCCTGGCCTCACCATGTGTTAGATGAATAACTCTGGGTAAGCTACTTAACCTCTCTCCACCTCAGTTTCTTTTTGTGTAAGGTGGGGATAATTAGAATATCTTTCATACTCTTATGGTTTTTTTGTGATGATTCAATGTGGTAAGTCCTCAATAAGAACTAATCAATCACAGTTTCACAAAATTTTGAAAGAATGAGTGAATAGTTGAATTCACAGGAAATGCAAATGGAGAGGTGGGGCCAGGATTTGAACCCAGCCCTGCGTGCCCTGTGCCAGGTCCTGGGCACGTACAGTGTGAGAAATTAGACATAGACCCTGACCTAGGCAGCCCATGGCTTGCTAGGAGGAGTGGATTATCAAAGGATGAATTGATAAATGTCACATCAGCCCAACTTCCCCGTGGGAACCATTTGCTATATTTTCCTCAAATTTGGTGTTGAGGTCTCTCTCTGGGAGTGGTCATAAACTCTAGCCCTGCCTTGAATAGGAACCCCAGGGATTTGGCCATGACGTTCACAGTGTGACTTTCACAGAATACTCCTTTACCCTGGCACACAGCCTGCTGCCTAAGTGCCCAGGCTGTGACCAGGTTGTCCCTTGCTATCCTGGTAGATGCCTGTAGGTAACCCTCCATCTGGGCACCGAGGAAGGCGAGCTAAGCAGATCCCCCGTTCTCCTTCCTTGATGCCCAGATGGGGGGTTACCCACAGATGCCCTTGTGGCTCTCATATGACCTGTGTCCAGTTTATTCCTACCAAGACGCTTATTCTCTAGGAGAGCCTTGACCAGAAGAGAAGTTAGGTTCAGGTATGTCAGTCGGGTGGGACACAGAAGAGACAACACAACAACACACATAGAATAACAGAAGCAGTTTATTACTCACAGGTCCCAGAGAGAAGATGCCATAGCAAGCCTTGAGGGGCAAATGGAAAGGAGGGAACTGACAAGGACACAAGTGCTCATCCAGTGGGTAGGGAAGGAGAGAGAGAGAGAGAGAAAGAGAGAGAGAGAGATAAGCCAAAGCCTTAATTAGAGTCCAGGGGATCACCCAAGCAGGCTTCCCACAGGTAGTTCTAATTGGGGGTTTAGAGCTGGCAGGAAGGAGCTCTGCAGAGCCACACTGTGACTGACAGGTGGTCACCACCAGGTATCTGTGCAGCCCATGAGGGACACAGGAGTCAGGACACTAGTGAGTTGAGTAGGTTGCATCTGTATGCCCCACAGGGAGATGGTCATAGGAGGTGGTTGTATAAGGCAGACATCTGGATTAACCACCTTGGGCAACTGGGAGGAGGTAGAGACGGGAAATTATGTCCATGTGACTAAGCCCTGCTTCTGGCATGAGAAAGTCCAACTTATGGTCAAAATAAATCCCAAGGTAACATAAAAATATAAAAATGCATTATACTATGCCTGCCTCTTTATTCCCACTTTTCCTTCCCCTTTACTCAGGGTTCCAGGAAGAAGCCTTGTCCAGACAGCCCCGGAGACCAAGCATCTCCTGCTGAGGATGCCCCTCCTTTGGGGGAACAACAGGAGCTCCATTATGCCTCCCTCAGCTTTTCCGAGATGAACTTGAGGGAGCCTATGGACCAGGAGGCTCCAAGCACCACAGAGTACTCAGAGATCAAGATAAGCAAGTGAAGACTCACCCAGAGTTCAGTCCTGGCCAGCGGAACCACAGCCTGTCTGGGAGAAAGGAGAAGTCAGGGACCACTTGCTGAAGCACCAAGAGCCCTTGTGACAATGCTAACATTAACTGATGTGTACGTGCTCCAAACAGAGCAGAAAGAAGATAGATGATGGAATTAGAGAGGTGGGCTCAAACCTGGGCCCTGGCACTGTCATCAGGCAATTCACTGCATCCCTCTGTGCCTCAGTTTCCCACTCTGTAAATCAGAGATCATGCATCTTACCTCAAAGGTTGTTGTGACCATTAAAGAAATCAGCACTGGAAATCAGTCAACACGGGTCCTGGCACTGGGTGGGTCCTCAGTGCTTGCTGGTCTCTCTTCCTTAAACAGGAAGTTCTCTCAAGGCTGGGGATGACCAGGCACAGAAAACAGGGCAGCAGTATGTTGGTGTCAATCCCCTTGGCAGAACTCCTCAAAGACTCCTTAGGAAAGGACACACAGGGAAAATAAAATATAACATGGGATATTTATGTTAAATATGATTAGATAAATGCTTCAGTTAAAAACAGAGTCCACTTGGATGGATTCCAAGTATATAATCTTTACAATACATGTAAAGTACAAGATGGAGAATGCCAAAAGTGAAAGTATATTATGCCAACATTAATAAAAGGAAAGCTAGTGCAGTCCTATTTGGCCATACAAAATACACATTACTATATTGTTCCATTTGTATGAATGCTTGAAGCAATTATTCTTGCTTAAGAATATATACACAGGTATTATGCTTATGGGCAAAGGCAGGGAAAAAAAGGTAATCCCAAAGATCAGTAATGTGGTAACTCAAAAGGAAGGTTGGGGAGGGTGGGAAATGGAGGGGTTCTAAGGTTTCCGGGGTGCCCACATGTTCTATTTCTCAGCATAAGAGATGATTACATAATGTGAATGGTAAGTGTATTTTTGGTAACACAAATATAGAAAAATATTGCAGACTAGGAAATGTCTGATGTTCTGATAGTCATCTTTTCTTAAAATTTTTGAAGAAAAAATAATTTTCTTTGGAAGATTATGACAAAAAGTTAATAAAATCATCCTTCTTACCAAAAATCTTGATAGATTTGACAACATCAAAACTGAAACTATCACCAGGCTTGGTGGCTCATGCCTGTAATCCCAACACTTTGAGAAGTGAGGCAGAAGGATCACCTGAGACAAGGTGTTTGAGACCAGCCTGGCAACATAGTGAGACCCTGTCTCTACCAAAAGAAAAAAAAAGTTAGTGAGCATGGAGGCACATGCGTATGGTCCTCGCTGCTTGGAAGGCTGAGGTGGGAGGATCACTTGAGCCCAGGAGTTAAGAACAGCCTGGGCAACATAGTGAGATCCCACCTCTACAAAAAATAAACAAAAATTAGTTGGGCATGGTGGCAGGTGCCTGTGGTCCCAGCTCTCAGAAGATGGGAGGATCCCTTGTGCCCTGGAGGTTGAGACTGCAGTGAGTGAGATCACAACACTGCAGTGCAGCACGGGCGACAGAATGAGACTTTCTCTCTCTCTCTCTCTCTATATATATATATGTGTGTGTGTGTGTGTGTGTGTGTGTGTGTGTGTGTGTGTGTGTGTGGTGTGTATATGTGTATGTATATATATATCTATATATATGTATGTATGTATATGCATCAATAATGTGAGACCCGTGAAGTCAATTATACATCCAGTCTCTGTTTTCCCCTCTGTCAAATGAGAATTATTAACCAAACCTCTCTTAGGTTGGTTATGAAGATTAAATGCAGCATATATAGAAAAGCACAGCCCTGAGTCTGGAACTTGGGGAGATTCAGTGAATGTCCATCTCTTTCCTAAACCCTTATCCGAGAGGAGATCCAGGCACGGACTTGCTATTTAAAGCGTGGTCCATGAACCAGCAACATCAGCATAATCTGGAACCTCAGAAAAATACCTTGTTCTTCTTTGTCCCTTAGCCAGGCCAGCACCGTGATTCAAAGGAATGATCCTTAGGTCAACTAGCGGAGTGAGAGGAAAAGCACAGCAGTAAGTCCTTTTCCCTAACCTCTTTTTCCCGAAAGGGACCCAGCCTTTTCGAAGCCTCTCAGACTTAGGTGCCCTGCTGGCCTACAGCTCAGAACCTTGCGCCTGTGAATTTGTGTCCACGGCAGAATTGGGAGTTTCCTGAACTCAGCACAGTTACAGTGCAGAACCATGGACAGAGCCAACCCAGGGCTAGTTGTTCCCCAAATCGGCCATGGTGGATGGAGCGCCCCCTGGGGGTAGAACGCTGGCCTGTCTCAAATGCAGAGGTAAGGAGGTTGGAGAGCAGGGTTGGTGACATTCTGTTCTGCAGGGCAGAGGTGCTGGTCAGAGGGCATCCAAGCTCCTCTGCAGTCTTCCTATGAAGGCCCCCTCATTTTAGGGAAGAGAAGACTTAGCTTTAGCGAGAGAGTGCATTTCTCACAGGCCACTGGGATCCTTGCCTCTCTGGACTGACTCTGCCCTCACTCCTTCCAGGAAACCTTCTCTGTGGCAGGCTCCATCTCTTCCTCCCTTCCTTTTCCAGTGGGTTGATAATTTGCCCTTGCTTTGAATCCCTTATTTGTCCTGTCATGGTATTCTGAACAACAGAACATGATACGTGATCCTTTTTCATACCTGACTCTGTGCAAATCCTGAATCAGCTCAAATGAAGGAATGAAGTATCTATCAGAAGGCTGGTTGTGAAGTTATATTTGGAGCTGAGGGGTCGCAGAAACAAATTATAAGTTTTCATTCTACATGAATGGTAAGTATTTATACTGGGAAAAGGATCCTGGGGCCTCAGTGGACCACAGGATGGAGAAGGTTGTCGTGAAGGGCAGAACAGACAAAGCAATGTCGGAGTTAAATGGATGTGTGTTAAGAAGAGATCTGATAAATACTGTGACCATGGGAGGCCTACGGGGCTGAAGGAACTGTTGAGAAGTCAAAACTCACTCTGAAGTTGTGAGTTAAGGGCTTATCAGAAACCTGAGAATAAGCGGGGAGAGATACAAAAATTCAGTAACTTTCTAAACTCAAATTGACACCAGAAAAACCCCAGACATCACATCCGGGTCTGATGCTGGAGCCAGGGCCTCAGTTCTGAGTCACAGTCTCTGACCTTGCAGGTGAGTTTCAGTTCAGCCATCCCTTCTTATGAGTGTGATCAGGACTGGGGGTGGAGGGGCAGAGGAAGATTCAGTTTCAGGGCTCCTGGACTCTTCTGCTCTAAGAGAGGTCTCCAAGAGCTCTAAGTGAACAGAAGAGTGGGGGCATGTCCCACTCATGCTCTGAGGAGGGGTAGGAATGGACGCCTTGAGGAAGCAACATCTGAGTGAGGAATGAGATGGCAGGGTCCACTGAACAGGTTATCAGTAGGCCTGGGGTGAAAGGAGGTCACCCTTCACTTCCCTAGTAGTTGTTTGAGAGAAGAGGACTCCTAATAGAGGAACTTGGAGCAACTCAATCCAGGAAAAGTCTCTAGAAAAGTCTCTAGCTGTCCTCTTTCTGTCGCTGCCTTGATCTCCAGACAGAACAGACTTATCAGGTGCTGTCAGGAGTCGTCCCAGACTCACCCCTCTCCAATCCCAAGATGCTGCAGTTGCCCCTGCTGTGCATGTGCAGGAGTAAGAGGACTGCAGGAAATGTGACTTCACAGGAGGTCCTTGGTCTTCATTTTGGGGTACAGCTTGGAGAAATATGCAGGATAGAATCTGCAGATCTGAGATCTGAAGATGTGGTACAGGACAAAGCACCTCTGTCCTCATGCTTTGACTTCCATCTTGAAATTTTTGTGCTTACTCTAGAATAGCCTGTCTTTTGGTTTGCGGAAGGGGTCAAAATTTCCATGATCCTCCTATTTCCACAAACAGACCAGGTCAAAAGCTGCAGAAGAGGTGTCACAAACTACAGGCTGATTCTACCTCCTTGGGGACCTCTAGACCAACTCTTCACTGAGCAACAGAGATGCCAAGAAGGAGGGGAGCAGGACATTTTTCCCTCATGAGGAGAAGGCTTCTTGTGAGATAGTGCCACAAATAGAAAACATAACCTCTGAATGTGAAGGGTAGAGTAGGACCCTCATCCAAAGGGTTGGGTTGGGAAGGCATGAAGGACCCTAAGCTGAGAGCAGAGGGGCCAGCTCAGGGCCTGATGCAGAGGCCACTGCTGGTACCATACCCTCCTCTGTGCTCCAGGTCCTCCCTCTCCCCCAACCCAGTGCTGACCCAGATACCTGACATTCACATCCTAGGTATCCTGGAGTCTGGGTACAAGGAGGATCTGACTTCCCCATGCCAGAGACTGCTGAGGATATAGGACACCCAACAACTGTTACTGGCAATGGGTTACCCTGAGACACACCTCCCACCACCCACCCACCCACACTTACTGTGGTTGATGATCAGAAGAGCTTGCACCTTGCACCTGCCTCACTCCAGGATCCCCAGATAGACTCAGATTCAGTTCATGGCTATTGGCTCTGGAAAGGGGCCATCCTTACCTGGATGCTCCAGTACCAAACATAACAGAGTCTAAATTTTAAAGAAGAAGGCAATGACAAATCTACCTTCTTCAAGACCTCCAAACTCACAACTGGCCCCCAAGCATGAGAGGTGCCCAGAGTGGGACACAGGAACACCTAAGCTCTCTGTAAGTACAACAGATATGGAGCTGGCTCTAGAAAAGGATATGGTGGACGGAGTTTGTGGGGCCGAGAGTAACAAGGGCATGGGGACTCCTGACTCACCTGTTGGGTAATATTCCCAGTGTTGCCGAGAACACAGAGAAAGCAATCCTGGGGTGTATCTCATGAGTTGGGGGCAGTTTTGCTGATCCAAGAAAAATAAGGCCCACGGGGGAGCTCCTCAGTGGATGTCATCCCAGAACTGTAGAGGCAGTGGCACTAGACGCAGAATGCTCGGTGAATTCTCAGGTGAGATTAGTTTAGGTGACATGATTCTGATGGTGGCTGGCCAGGTCATTTCAAATAAACTTTCCTCATGGAAAATTTTTTTTGAAGACCTAAAAAAGTTGATAAAAATTTTCAAAATGTTTTGTGTCAATGGAGAGAAAATAAAAGGTTTGAAAGAAGTAGGAAGCCAAGACAGATGAGCCAATTATTTGGCGACACCATTTTTCCTGAAATAGGTTGCTGATTCCAAGCAGACACTGAGAAGCTGAGCAGAACGTTTGAGTCTCATGGGGATAGAATGATAAACGTTACGGCTGAGGGCTTGCCAAGGAAAACGGGCCCTGGTAAACACTGCAGTGCTGTGGTGGGGACCTTGCGGAGTAAGGAGGTGCTGGAACTAGATGATACCTCATAAGGATTAAAGCCAGACCAAATGTCCTCAATATCCGATCAAACTGAAGTCGTCTGCTTACCACAAGCAAGAGTAAATATGCCCTGAAAAAGATAACGTGACTCAGGGTTTAAAATTATCTCTATAGGTTTTCACCACTCTAGCAGACAAGAGTGTGGCCAGGGAAACAGCCACCAAGAGTTTTATGAGAATAAGGGGCTCACTAGAGGACCTAGAACTTAACGCAAATGTGGTAGACCTGGAAAGTCTTTGTGGAGTGACGCCTTGGAGAAGGCAGGACGATCATGAGAGCATCATTAAGCAGTTCAATTGAAGACAAGGTGTGGGTGGGCTTGCGGGGATATATGAAAAGCCAAGCATGTCCACTGTTACCATGGGACCCCAAAGGGGGATGTCACAGAAAGTTCTATGGAAAACTGTTGCCTATGTAGCTACTGCCTCTGTAAACACGGAGCCAAGCAGGTGGTGGTAGACTTGAAGCTGGTGTTGGTCATCCCCAGGGCTGGCAATTGGGAAGATGACGTGCATGTGGAGCAAAGCAGGGAAAGTTGCCTAATACGTTATGCTATTTTATAGTTGTTTATAAAAGGAGGGTAAGTCTGATACTAGTTACTCCATTCTGCCTGGTTCTTTATTATCATTCATCACATTCAGTTTTAATGGTTCTTTTAAAAATGTAATCATCCGTCTTCACGCTGCTAAGACATACCTGAGAGAAATTTTTAAAAAAGTAATCAAATACAATGGTGAATTTCTCTATTTTAGCATCTATTTTCATATGATGACAATTAAAGTCCATACCTAAAATTCATATCTAGAACACCTGTAATCACATCTGTGCTCTTGACGCCCAGCCTCTTGGTATTCAACCATTTTGTCATCTCTCCTGGCATGCTTGTAAACTTTTTAATTTTTAATTGAATTTCCAGGATTTTGTTTGAATAACTAGAGATTTTCTGGAACGCTGAAACTTTCTTCCTCTGGATTCTAGTACAATCTAGAATAGCACTGCACAGTGGAATTTTCTGATGATGGAAACATTCTTTCTGCATTGTTCAACATGGTAGTGTGGAGCACTTGAAAGGTATTTAAGGTGACTGAGGATTTAATCCTTAATTTTAATTAATTTAAAGGTAAATCAGCTCATGTGGCTAGGGCTACCCTATTTTTGCTTTCTGGCAAGTAGAATAGAGACAGATCCTTTAATCCAGCCCCAGACTGAGTGAGTTTGAAGATGGGTTTTGCTTTTACTTTTAATTTGTAACCTTTCTTGAGTCCTAACTAAAGGTTTGGGGCGTTTACTGGACCTCTCCTTATCAGATCCTGAACATCAAATTTGGTTTACCCAGTTCCATCAGACTGCTGAGAGAAGAGTCTAAGCACGTTGGGCTCACCTCAATGATCTTCCCTTCCTTCCAGGATTTTGGTCCCTCAAGTCCTGTCTACCTTGGTAGCCCCAGGCTTCATGATCTATTTGTATTTAATTTTATTATCATTTTTTTAGAGACAGGGTCTTGGTATGTTGCTCAGGCTGGCCTCAAACTCGTAGGCTCAAGTGATCCTCCTATGTTGGCCTCCCAAAGCGCTGGGATTATCCTGGCCACCGCGACTTCTGTCTCTAGCTCCAACTGTGACACTGCGAAAGCTCAGCTCAGGTTCCCACCGTCCTAGCTTCTGCTTTCTGCTTGCCTCCTTAGCCTTTTGAACCCTCAGGGAGAATGAGCTTCCCTTTTCTCTGGGATCCTGGCCAACTTGGTAGCCCTCCAATGTCATCGGATTGTTTTTGTCTGGGCCGGATCCCCGGGCGTCCCCGGCGTCGCCTGCTCGTCCAGCCCCCGGCGGCCCTTGCCGATGGCCAGGCGGGGCCGGCCGCGGTTCAGGCCGTCCAGGAGCGCGCAGGCCTGGCAGAGCGCGCGGCTGGCCAGAGCCCCGCAGCGGGAGCAGGCGCCGGGGCGCGGGGGCCGAGCGGACGCGGCCAGCGCCAGGCGCTCGGCGGAGTGCACGAGGTCCAGCACCGCCGACGGCCGCGCCGCCTCCAGGCGCTTGAGCAGGTCCCGGGCGTGGCCGCGGAAGGCCTCGGGCGCGTAGACGCACTCCTCGGAGAAGTAGTCCAGGCGGCGGAAGTGCGCGTACAGCACCACCTCCTTCTGCGACGCGAACTGCAGCGGGCGGCAGCGCGGCAGGGCGCCCCCCTCGCCCGGGGAGCCCAGGCCCCCGCCCCGGGCCAGCCGCCCCGCGTCGCCCCGCAGGAAGTTCATGAGCACGGTCTCCGCCATGTCGTCTGCGTTGTGACCTGGTGGGGAGAGACGGGAGCGGGTGAGCTGGGGCGCGGAGGGCGCTGCTGGTCAGGGAGACCCTCGGGGAACCGTGGGTCCATGAGGACCCAGAGGGAGACTGGGAGGGAGACCCATGGAGACCCAGGGCACAGTGGGACCGCCAGGACCCAGAGAGAGAGACCGGGAGAGGAGCGCGGACCATGGAAACCCAGGGCACAATGGGGCTCCAGGACTCAAGAGAGAGAGGGACAGGGGGAGGGAAAGAGGTACGATGGGGGGAACCCTGCCATGGAGACTCCCGGGAACCATAGAGCCTCCCGGGAACCATAGAGCAGCCAGATGGAGACTGCAGGTGGAAAGGAGACTTGAGGGGAACACAGATAAGCTCCTTGAGCGCCCCCTCATTTGCCCTCCGCCTACTGTATAGCAGGCCCTTCACTAGCTGTCCTTCCACGTAGGGAGCAAAAGTGTTTTCGCTGCAAACCCCATTTCAGCCTCAGTTAAAACTGTATTTCAGACTACACAAGAGAAAAAAAGGCCATTTAATGAGGATTCTCAAGAGAGCTGTTGACACAAGTGCCACTGGGAATACAGATCACCGGATTTAAGAAAGACCAGGAAGAAAGTTAGTGAATACGTAACACACCAGTCACCATAAAATTTAAATGGAAACCATCCTTATTCTGCATCTTATCTTATACTTGAGTCTGTAATTATGTAATTATAACCTGACAAGTGCTACTAAGGAAAATTACACAGAATGTGTGAATTTCTATCAGGGGGTCCTAGTGACGGGGAAAAGGTGGGGATTAAGGAAACCTTTCCTGAGTGAACTGAGACCCAAAGGCTCAGTGAATAACCAGGTGAAGAATGAATTGGAGTCTGTATTTCAGACTGTCTTGGTCTCTTGTGCATCATCATAACAGCAACATTTACATAATGTTTACTGTTTTTCAGCCTCTAGTCTAAGTGCTGTATATATAAAACTCATCCAATTCCCAACTTGAGGACCCAGATGTCATTAACATCCCCATTTTACAAAGGATGAAACGGAGCTTAGGTAATTTGCTCTAGGCTACACTGCTTGTATCTGGTAGTCAATGGACTATAAGTACTTATTGAAGTAATCACTGGGAGAAAATAAGAGAAACCTATTAAGAGAAGGAGTTAAGAGAGACCGTAGCGTTTCAGACTGTATGGCTTATGATGGGAGACGCCTCTTCACATCTCTCTCTGTGATGGGAGATACAAAGAAAGTCATTTCCCTCTACTAAAAATACAAAAATTAGCCGGGCATGGTGGCAGGCACCTGTAATCCCAGCTATTCAGGAGACTGAGGCAGGAGAATCGCTTGAACCTGGGGGACGGAGGCTGCAGTGAGTCGATTGCGCCACTGCACTCCAGCCTGCGCGGCACAGAGAGACTCCGTCTCAAAATAATAACAACAGCGGAGTACTCCGGCTTTAGTTCCTACAGGGTAGCCCCTCTATTTGCCAAGGTGTGTACTAAGATGATGGCAGAGACCCAGAGGCCAAAAGTCTGCCCTGCTCCATCCTAGGGAGGAACACGTACCACCCACAGGAGCCTTCAGTGGGCTCTGGCCCCAAGTAGGTGGATGACCGTTTATTTCCCAGTTGCTTTCTGGGATCCTTCCGCTAAGCCACGCCCAGGGTCTCCTTTCCCGCTTCTGGAGCATGCGCCCCAGTCCCCTTTCAGGGCCCGCCCCTCGTCCGCGCATGCTCCCCACTGCCTCCACTGCACCTATCTGCGGCCGCGCTTGTTCTCACTGATCGCGATGTTAGTGGCTCCCGCGCGGCGCGCCGCTTGCCGCTCCCCACGGAAGGTGCAGCAGTAGCGGCTGCGGTCGGAGCCTGCTGTTCTGCGGGCCACGGCGTCCGTCAGGCCCCTGAAGAGATCTTCGTAGGCCAAGATGGTGAGCGGCAGCTCCCAGCGCGCCGCCTGGCGACGCACGGCCGCCAGCGCCGCGTCCCGGTAGCCGCCGATGCCCTCGTCGACTGCCACGAGCTGCAGTGAGATGCCCAGGCGCGGCACCAGCGCGCGCAGCACGTGCGCCAGCACCGTGGAGTCCTTGCCGCCCGAGGCGCCCACGGCCACCACCGCGCCGGGAGGCAGCAGGCGACCCGCGAGCACCGTGTGCAGCACCTCGGCCTCAAAGGCTGAGCAGAAGCAGGCACCGCACAGCGCTTGGCCGGAGCACGGACGGCGGAGGGCGGCGCGTGCAGCGTGGCAGGAGGTACACGGTGGGCATTGCGGGAGGGGACAGAGGAGGCGGGTTACATGTGGATTCCGGATTGCAACGTCACTGCCTTTGAGGAGTTCCCTGGATAGCACCCCTGCGTGGAATAGACCAGGGGCAGCTGTGCATAGCTGCTCCTAACGCTGGGGACACTGCCTCCAGGAAGGAGTGCACTAGGCCGGTCCAGCCCGCTTCCCGTCTGCGCCTGCGCAGGCACCAGCGCGGCGCGGGCGTTCTTGGCCTGTGGTGGTTCGCTGTGCTCAGTGTAAAGATGGGATGGACTTTATTTATTTATTTATTTATTTTTCAGATTTTTTTCCTGTTGTGGGAATATGGCAAGAGTTGTCTAAGGGGGCGGAGAAAGGGATTAGGAGTGTGAAAAGGGAAGATTTGCGCAAAGCACATTCCTAGGATTGGGCCGCATCTCAGGGATGCAGAGTGGGCTTTTGCGCGCGTCCTGCAGCCGTGGGAGAATACGCATGCCCAGGCGGAGGGTCAAGGCCGTGCGGGGTGGGGTCTCTGTGCATGCACGGAGCTGAAAGGTAGCGGTTTCAGATAAACACGCGTGCCCAATTATCGGGACGTGGACACGGTGAACAGTTATGCACAATCGTCGGTCTGACACAAACACCCCCTCCTGCTGGATGGAGGGCAGGTAAGACCCGTGAGGCAAGCTCCCAAAACCAAGGAACGGAGCAGTCTTTGTGAGGCCATTGATAAGGAAGACTGAGAGTGAAGGGTGATGGTAGACACACCTTGTGTGTCTTGTGACCACCTCAAGCGTTGACCTTTGGTAATTGGAACTTATTCATTTGTTGATCCATTACCTATGTGCCGGGCCCTTTGACCGGCTGGCCAGATACACCGGGACACAGGTGTATCCAGCCTGGTCCAGAGATAAGGATGATAAATCTTAATGTGAAGGTATCAGATGTTAAGGGCTGCAGGAGCCCAGAGGTTACAAGTGCTGCAAGCCAGGACATGTGAAAACAACAGCGATTATGCCATTGGCTTGTGCCAGACGCTGTGCCCTGCACTTTCCACCCATCGTCTCAGGTTTTTCGTCTGTAAAATGGAGATAATAATAGTATCTGCCTCAAAGTTTGAAGATTAGTGGAAAGTGTTTAGAACAGTACTCTACTAAACAATAACACTTAATATTTTCATCTCATTTAACCCTCATAATCAAGGGTGGCTTCCTTTACTGAGCCAGGCCTAATTTTTACTTTAAAGCAAGCAAGGGTAAGAGTTTCAAAACCCCAGACATCCTAAAGATAATGTCAGTCAGTGGTTCCCAGCTGGGGAGGGTAGGAGTGATGTGGTCTCCCAGGGAAGACAAATTACATCTGCAAAGATCCTATTTCCAAACATAAGGCCACATTTTAAAGTAAACAAGAATTTTGAGGAGACAATATTCAACCCAGTACCACTGAGTTGTGGGGTAGGCAGGTCTCTGACCGCTCGAGGCCTCTGCCCCTTCAGACGGCCTCTTGAAAGTGATCATTCCAGAGAACCTGACAATGGAGAATGTGGTAGAGAAGAACCCACTGGTGAAGCTGGGAGGCCAATACCAGCCACCTGACTGCTGGGCACAGCACCACACAGCGGTAGTGGTGCCCTACTGTGGGCAAGCCCAGCACCTGAAGTACCTGCTTTCCCACTGCACACGTTCCTGCAGAGCCAGCAACTGTACTACACCATCTAGGTGGTGAACCAGGCCAGGCAGGACTGGGAGGGGCAGAGGTAAGAGGACAGAAGGGTCCCAGCATGGCAGGGCTGAAGTTTGCACTCTTTTTTTTTTTTTTTTTTGAGACAGAGTCTTGCTCAGTCACCCAGGCTGGAGTGCAGTGGCAAGATCTCGGCTTACTGCAGCCTCTGCCTCCTGGGTTCCAAGTAGCTGGGGCTACAGGTGCATGCCACCACGCCCAACTAATTTTTGTATTTTTAGTAGAGAGGGGGTTTCACCATATTGGCCAAGCTGGTCTCGAACTCCTGACCTCATGATCCACCTGCCCTGGCCTCCCAAAGTGCTGGGATTACAGGCGTGAGCCACTGCGCCCTGCCTGAAGTTGGGACTCTCTAAGGTGATAGTGGTCTGGGTTAGATATTGTCTGGGGGGCTTAGTTTGTGAGTCAAGAAGAACTTGAATTAGAGGATGTTGGAGCCAAGGGCTGTAGGTTTGGTCTAGACTTGCCAACTCTGAGATTGGCTTAAAAGGCTGTCTGAGGCAAAGGCTCAGTCCTGCTGAGTGTGGGGCTCCTTGAGACCAGGGCTGCCCAGATTTTACGGTAAACCTAAGGGGCAACTTAAAGCACTGGATTTGGGGTCAGTTATGGGATTGTTTAAATCCTGGCCTTGCCTATTACTAGCTGTGTTGTCTGAGTGTGGAATCATTCATTCATTCAGTCATTCAGCATGCCGTTATTCAGTATAACTGTATGAACTTGGAGCACTTACGTGCCACAGTTTTCATTCACCATGGAGATGATCATAACACCTCCGTTGTTACATTATGGGAAAGAATCATACCAAATGGAATGCTGTATGTTAACCAATGTAAGACAGGCCAATGCGTAGCACATAGTAGGTGCTCAATAAGTGATTGCAATTATGGTGATTATGAATGGTGATGGTGATGATTTTGAGAATGATGGTGGTAGTGCTGCTGGTGACGTGATGATGGTAGTGATGTTGATGGTGATACTCAAGGTGGTAGTGATGTTAGTAATGATATAGTGATGTTAATGAAGGTGGTCATGATAATGATTAAAGTAATGGTGATGATGGTGGTAACAATAGTGGAGGTGAGGTGATTATGTTGACAGTGTTGAAGATGATGAAGGCAGTGATGTGATAATGATGGCAATGTTGATTATAATGATGGATAGTGATGATGGTGTTGATGATGAAAATAATGATGATAGATGAAGGGGAGGAGGAGACGCAAACCCCATGGGGATTCCTGGGCTTCTGAGCCAGTCTATCTACTAGGAGCCGAAACAGAGACAGAGGTGATCCCTTATCATCTCTAACCTCTGCCTCTCTTCGATGGCCCCTCGAAGGTGATGATCCTCGAGAACACTGCAGATGGCCAGAGAAGGGAAGCCGAGATGCTGAAGTTACTGACTTTGACTTGGATGGGGGTGGGAAATACAAGAGAAGTTTCTCAGGGGAGTAACTTTTGCATTGCATCATCCTAGACAAGTCTGGATTTTCCAATTACACAGTGGGAAAGAAAAGGCATTCAAGGTGGGGGAATGGCACTTGAGAAAGCGAAAGAAGATTGGCCTAGTAGGTAGGGGAACGCTGCTGCCTGATGGTGAAGACAGCTCTGAGCATCTGTGTCCACCCCAGGTAAACAACACAGCCTTCGACCAGGATAGGCTATGCAATGTGGGGTTCTAGGAGGCTATGCAGGAGGAGGACTGGGACTGTGTCTTCTTCCATGATGTAAACCTACTCCTAGAAGAGGACCACAACCTCTACTCCTGTGACATCTTCCCTGCCCATATGTCTGTGGCCATTGACAAGTTCAACTACCAAGTAGGTGGAGGGAGGGGACCTGCTGTGGGGGACTGTCGGCCAGGCCTTGCCTTTCCTTGCGTCTCACCCTACCTATCTGTGCAGTAAGGTTAAAGTCAAGGGTCCATCCCTTGGTCCCTAGGGCTGAGGTAGGGAGGGAGTGGGTGATGTGACATGGAGAAACCCTTATAGATGGTGAAGAAACTTCCTTTGAGACATGGGTGTCAAGTGGGGATGGGAGTGGTTATTGACAGAAGAGTCAGAAGATGTACTTAATAAAGTGGTGAACTGAGAGGTTGTTTTGGGGTTCAGAGGAGGGGAACATGGGCGAGGTCTGACTGGGGGTGAGGAAGGAGCTATTCTAGGGTTCTGGGGAGAAGGGGCCATCAACACAGTCACAAGATGGTCTTGCCAGATGACTCAGAAGAGAGGATGTCCTAAGAATCAGGTGAGGGCCATCCCAAGGGTCAATGGAAGGGCTACCCTGGGGTCAGAAAAGGGGACATCCTAGGGTAAAGATGGGACCATCACAGGGGTCAGGGGAGAGGTCATCACAGGGTAAGTGGAAAAGGGCCTTCTAGAAACAGACCTTGTAGAACCTGGCCAGGAAAGGGCCAGGACCCTCTCCTACAAGGAAAGCTGTGCTTCCGACTTTCTGCCTCTGTAGTCTTCCCCATCCAGGCCACCTTGGAGGGGTGTTTGCCCTGTGCCCCATTCACTACCTGAAGATGAATGGATTTTCCAACAGGTACTGGGGCTGGGATGATGATGACGACAACATTGCTGCTAGGTGGGAGGCCCTGCTCCAAGGAGCCCAGAAGGGGCTGCAGGTCCTGACATGATGAGGCAGGTATGGGCCACCCTGGACTGCAGGGAACACGGGCTACCCTGGACTGGAGGGCTGGCCTGTGGCATGGGGACCCTGTCAGAGACAGATGTTTGGCCTCCATGCCCTCCCATGTCCCTGGAAGGGTATACCTAAGCAGGATGCTCCTCTCCTGGCCCCACCTTCTCTTCCGACACTACCATATGCCGGAGGGGATCCCAGAGTGGGGTCCCCAGGTGATGCTTAGGAATAGGGGAAGCCCAGATCTGAGAAGGGAGGCACCTCCCAAGGAGTCTTTGGAACCTCTAACCAGTGTATCTATACTGTAGGCTCAAGTTTTTACAACACCTATCCTGGGGCCCTGCCACCTTCCTCCCTGAAACTGAATAGGGTGCCACTCCCAGGACCCAGGTGTACGCTGTTTCCCCCCACACCAAGTAATACCCCTCACCACCATGGAGAGGCCTCTGAGGCCTTTCCACCCCAAACCAGTCACATCTGTGGCCAGCCAGTCCTTGTGCCTGGACTCCCCAGGTGAGACTCTTCCACTTTTCTCGGGAGGTGGGCCATGGTGACTGATACTACACCCCTGGACAGGGAGAGGCCAGTTAGACACAGAACAGATTTGCTCTCCAAAGCCCAGCACAGGCTCAGGTCTGTGCCTGTTCCTGACTAGCTGTGCAGGCCCCTGCCAACCTTGAAGGGATATGGAGACTAAAGCCATGGGTGCCCATCTCTAACACTCTCCCCCTTCTGGAAAGGACTTCAGCTGACTGGAATCTGCCACTGCAGTCCCACGCCCAGCACAAGGGAACCCAGGCAGTCTCAGGGATACAAGGTCCCACTAAAATTCATCAGCAGTTGGTCTGCCCATGCAGTTCCAAGGGCTTAACACATACACACTTCTCACATCAAATGCGTGGGGGTTGGGTACTATCATAATCTCCCTTTTGTAGACGAGACATCTTTTGTAGATGAGACCAAATAACTTGCTGAGCAGATGCAGAGGGTAGAGAGTGGACCCAGGAATAAATGCAGAAGCCTGGCTCCTGAGCCTGTGCCCTTAAAAGATTATGCTGGTCTGCTTCTCAGAAATATTTGGGTAACAGTCCCCTCTCCCTTTTCTTTAGCAA